AAGGAAAATGAAAACACAAACATATCAAAACCTTTGGGACATGGAAAAAGCAGTACTCAGAGGGAAATTCATAGCAATAAATACCTACATTAAAAAAGAAGAAAGATCCAAAATCATTAACACAAACCAACAACTTGAATAAATAGAAAAGAAGAGCAAAAGAAGGCAAAAACTACCAGAAAAAAGGAAATAATAAAGATCAGGGCAGAAATAAACAAAATAGAAAACAATAACAATAGAAAGAATAAAAAAAAAACCCAGAAGTTGGTTCTTTGAAAGAATCATTGATAGAGACAAACCACTGGCTAGGTTCACAAAAGAAAAAAAACCAGAAGAGGCAAATACCCAAATTAAGAAATGAAATTGGTGACATTACAACCGATCCAACAGAAATAAAGAAGATCGTAACTGTTTACTATGAAAAACTGTACTCCACCAAATTTGAAAACCTAGATGAAATGGACAAATTCCAAGAAACACAGTACCTATCCAAACTTAACACAAACAGAGGTAGAAAATTTAAACAGAACCATTACAAGAGAACAGATTGAAGATGTCATAAAAAAACTTCCAACAAGAACAAAAAGTCCAGGAACAGATGGCTACACTGGCGAATTCTACCAAACATTCAGAGAAGAGTTGACACCATTTCTACTCAATCTTTTAAAAAACACAGAAGAGGAGGAACACTACTGAACTCTTTCTATGGAGTCAGCATAACCCTGACACATAAACCAGGCAAAGACATACCAAAAAAGAAAATTACAGACCAATATCCCTTATGAACATAGATGCGAAAAACTTCAAAAAAATTCTAGCCAACAGGCTTTAGTAACATATCAAAAAAAAAAAAAAACTTACACCATGATCAAATATGATTCATATCAGGGTGGTTCAACATGAGAAAATCAATCAATGTAATTCACCACACAAATCATACAAAGGAAAAGAACCATATGATCATGTCAAGTGATACAGAAAAGGCATTCGATAAAATTCAACTCCCTTTCACTACAACTACCACAGCCTCCACCAGACTGAGTCCAGCACAACTAGATGGTGCCCAGCTACCACCACTGACTGCTCTGACAGGGATCCCAACAGAGGGATCTAGACACAGCTGGATAAAAATGTAGAACAAAATTTGAGCCCACAAAAAAGACCAGACTTACTGACCTGACAGAGACTGGAGAAACTCTGAGAGTATGGCCCCCAGACACCCTTTTAGCTCAATAATGAAGTCAAGCACTAGAAGGCAGGAGGAACAGGAAAGATGGTAATAGGGAACCCAAGGCCGAGAAAGGAGACTGTTGACATGTCGTGGGGTTAGTAACCAATGTCACAAAATGATATGTGTACCAATTGTTTAATGACAAGCTAGTTTGTTCTGTAAACCTTCATCTAAAATACAATAAAAAAAAAAATTACTGGGGGAGGGAGGGATCTTCCTTTCCTGATAAAAACTCTCAGCAAAATAAGACTAGAAGGGAAATTTCTCAACATAATTGAGGGCTTAAATGCAAAACCAACAGTCATTATATTCAACAGAGAAAGACTAAGAGGTTTTCCTTTGAGAAGGGACAAGACAAGGATGCCCATTATCACCATTCCTACTGAACATTGTACTAGAAATCCTAGCCAGAGCAATAGGAATTAATGGTATCCGAAGTGAAAAGGAAGAAGCAAAATTATCTCTATTTGCAGATGACATGATCCTATACATAGAAGACCCTAAAGATTCCACAAGAAAACTGCTGGAACTAATAAAAGAATTTAAAAATGTTGCAGGGTACAAGATCAACTCATAAAAATCAGTTGGGTTCCTCTACACTAACAAAGAGTACTGTAAACAAAGAAATCAAGAAAACAAAACCATTTGCAACAGCCCCCAAATCGATAAAATATCTAGGAATTAACCTAACCAGGGACATAAAAGACTTATACAATGAAAATTATGAAACACTAGTACAAGAGACTAGAAGAGACCTACAAAAATGGAAAGACGTCCCATACTCACAGATTTGAAGACTTAATACATTGAAAATGTCAATTCTACCTAAAGTGATCTACAGATACAATGCAATCCTGACACAAATTCCAACAACATTCTTTACTGAAATGGAAAAACTAATGGCCAACTTCATATGGAAAGGAAAGAAACCTCAAATAGCCAAAGCAACATTGAAGAAAAAGAACAAAGCAGGAGGCCTCACACTCCCCGTTATCAAAACATACTATACAGCTACTGTAATCAAAACAGCCTGACATTGGTTCAACCGTAGACATATCATCAGTGGAACAGAACTGAGAACCCAGAATTAAACCCAGCCATCTACAGACAACTGATTTGTCAAAGTTCATTCAGTGGAGCAGAAATAGTCTCTTTAATAAATGGTGCTGGGAAAACTCGATATCCACCTGCAGAAAAATGAAACAGAACCCATACCTCACACCATACATGAAAATTAACTCCAAATAGATCAAAGGCCTAAATGTTAAACCTAAAACCAAAAAATTCCTAGAAGAAAACAGAGAGAAAAATATGGGATCTAATCTTTTGTAAAAATAGGATAACAAATATAACAAATACATGAATAGAAGAAGACAAAATAGACAAATGGGACCTCATAAAAATAAAAAACTTATGCTCATCAAAAGACTTTATTAAAAAAGTAAATAGACAACCTACAGACTGGGAAAAATCTTCAGAAATGACTTATCCAATATAACGGTCCAATCTCTAATATCTATAGAAAACTGCAATAAGTCAACAATAAGAAGGCAAACCAAATCACAAAATGGGCAAAGGACACGAACAGAAGCTTTACCAAAGAGGACATCCAAGCAGCCAACAAATGTATGAAAAGATGTTCATGATCATTAGCCATTAGAGAGAAGCAAATCAAAAATACAATGAGATATCATCTTACCCTGGATAAAATGGCACATATTTAAAACAATAACACAGATAACAAACAACAAATGTTTGCGAGGAGATGGGGAGATTGGAACCCTTATCCATCGCTTGTGGGACTGTACAATGCTACAACCACTATGGAAAACAGCATGGAACTTTCTCAAAAAACTAGAAACAGAACTACCCTATGATCCAGCAATCCCACTCCTAGGTATATATACTAAACCAAACAAAACCCACTGCCATCCAGTTGATTGTTACTCATAGTGATCCTATAGGACAGAGTAAAACTGCCCAATAAGGTTTCCAAAGCTGTAAATCTTTACAGAAGCAGGCTGTTACATCTTTCTCCCGCGGAGCGGCTGGTGGGTTCAAACTGCTGACCTTTTGCTTGGCAGTTGAGCACTTTAACGGCTGCACTACCAGGGCTCCTGTATATACTCTAGAGAACTAAAAATAATGACACGAACAGACATGTGCATACCTATGTTCATTGCTGCTTTATTCACAATAGCAAATAAATGGACACAACTGAAGTGTCCATCAACAGATGAATGTATAAGCAAATTGTGATACACATATACAATGGAACACTATACAACCATAAAGAACAATGATGGGTCCATGAAATGTATTATAACATGGATGACCTGAAGGGCATAATGCTAAATGAAATAAGTCAAGCATATAGAGACCAGTGTTCACTGGTAGTTACCAGGGAGGGAGGGAGGGGAAAGTATCGTAGAGGCTTGTTTTCTTTAGTGATAGGAAAAGTGGCACCCAATGTGGATGTAGTGAGCACAGCACAACCAAAGGAAAAATAAGTGTTTGAAAACATATGGATTGGTACAGGTATGTTGGTATACAGGTAAGGACAGGTGTAACATATGTGAGAACAAAGATAAGTATCTATAGGTACATGTAAACACAAATTTGTAGGTGTAGGCACATATATTCATTGAAGACATAAATGCGGATACGCTTCAGACATAATCAAACACCTTCTAAGATTGGTTTTCTGGGTTTGAAAGCTCAGGACCATAGTCTCATGGGACAACTCAGTCAATTGGCATAATATAGTTCACAAAAATCATGGTCTGCATCCTAGAGAAGTGAGTAGCCTTTGGGGTCTTTAAAGCTTGTGAGCAGCCATCTAAGACACAACTACTGGTCTCTACTTGCCAGGAGCAAAACAGTAAGAAGGTAACCAAAAGTTCAGAGAAGAAACAAGTCTACACGAGCCACGACCTCATTTACCCCGAGACAAAAAGAACTAGATGGTGCCCAGTTACCACCACCGATTGTTCTGACTGGGGTCACAACAGATGGTTCTGGATAGACTGGGAGGAAAATGCAGAGCAGAACTCAAATTAAAAAACAAAACAAAACAAAACAGCCAGACAGACTGGAACAATAGAGAACAGAGGACTCCCTGAGATTATCGTCCTGACACACTCTTTAAACCTAGAACCAACCCCACTCCTTGAGATCAACTTTTAGAGAAACAGCAGGGTGGCACACAAAATAAAGGCTATTAGATCGGTGTTCTACTTAAAAACCATCTGTATGAGACCAAAAGGTCAACAATTACTCAAAAGCAAAGATGAGAAAATAAGGGGGCAGGCAACTAGAGTACTGGAAATCGAACAAACACCACAATTGACAGGAATGTGACACATTGTGATAAATGTAACTAATGTCAGTGAATAATCTGCAAAGAAATTGTTAAATGGGAACATAACTTGCTGTGCAAACTTTCATCAAAAACTCAATAAAATATTAAAAATAAAAAAGAGCACCTAAAGACATACCCTAGCACTTAAAAGAGCTCTGCATTCAAAAGAAGTTCAATATTTCTGGACTTAACAATGAATATATTTAAAATAAAGTAGGTTGGAAATACTTTTATTTGGCAATATTTTGTAGGTTTGACATTATTTATTTGAAATTAATAATTCCACACTAAAAAGGCTACAATTTTGAATTTTTACTAAATTTTACAAAACTTCTATACAATTAATCTGAAAAAGCAAGATTTTGCGTATGTCAGTTAGACAGAAAAATGATTATATAAAAAACTTACTATCTCCCTTCAACAGGTTCAATGTCAAGAGTATTAATTCCGCTGCCATGGATCCTTTCAACATCTCTGTCTTTGTTTAACTCCAATCCCAAAACCCTTCAGGAAAAATATAAAAATTAAAAGCGGGGAAAAAAAAACTAGAAAATAATTTAGCATAAAAAATTTCCTTATTTCACCAAAATTACAAATAGTACAAAAATCACAAGTAATTCTTAAATCTTCTTCCATTATACATCTAAAGGCATTTAGATTTAGTTAGATTTTTAAAGTATACACTTTTAAAATATAAACAGTATTAACAATTTAAAGCAAGTAATTTCCCTGAAGCATTTTCTTAAATTTTATTCAAAATACTATTTTATTAAGTTTCTATGAAGAGATTTAGAGCCTGAAACTTTCACAAACAGAAAGTTAAATTCTGAAAATGCACTGGTTATCTTTTGACGAAACACTTAAACTTAACTGATGACACCTAGTGGACAAACCTTAAATTACAGAATTTGAGTTTTTTTTTTTTAATTCCAGGAAGTGTTTCTTAATTAAAGAACACTTGGAAATAAAAAATGATTATGTTTAATTCAACAATTGAGCACACTGAAATAAAATCAACTAAATACTTATAAGTACAAACAATTAACAAATACTATCACAAATTAAGACAAATAGAATTTCTGATATTTCAGAGCTGTCAACTATCATTATCATGGTCAGGATATTACTACGATTAAATGAGTTAATACATAAAAAAATGCTCATTACAATGTCTAGCATATAGTAATGTGCTAATGAATGTTAATTATTAGAATTTGTCTTAGTCTGTTGGATATTATTAGAATTTACATTAATTTAACCAGAATAAAGAGTAAATAGATAGCATAAATAGTTAAGCACTCAACTACTAGCTGAAAGGTTGGTACTTCAAGCCCATCCAGAGACAGGCTTGCCTTCTGCTTCTGAAAGATCAAAGCCTTGAAAGCCCTATGAAGTAGTTCTACTCTGCACACATGGGGTCGCCACGAGTCGGAATCGAATCAAAGGCAACGAATAACAACCAGAATAATGTCAAAACTCATTACTGATCAAAAAGATTCTTATTTAAGTGAGATATTTTTGGCCTGTTAAATAACCATAATTAAAAAATTTTTTTTCAATGACAATGAAGTGCTGGAAAAGGTACAAATTGACGTTTTCACACAGTTTGATAGTAGCAGTACAAATAAAGTTTTTGGAAATAATTTTAGCATTATCAAGTGTCGAATTTAAAGATACTCATGGCCTTTTTTCTTCTGGAAGATAGTTTAATGTTCAAATATCCAGTGTCACACTTATTAGCTGTCTGACCTTGATCAATAAATACCAATAACACCTAATGTTAATTGAGAGGCTACTATTTGCTGACACTGTAGTAAGAGGTAATAATAAGTGTAATAATTGGTAATCCAAGTGGTAGGTAGTATTATAAAATGCATTTCCTGAATTTGCCCCAGGCTACACAGCTAAGCTACATTTAAACTTGGATGTCCTTTCTCTAGACCACTATTCTGCTCTGCCATTTCTGAGCTTGTATGTTTTCACCAGAAAATAACTTCTATAATTTTTCCATTGAAATTGTCATTTCTTCTTAAAAAGAATTTTCTATTTGATGATTTTTCAAAGGACAACAGTAATATGTGCTTCTTGTGACAAGCAAAAAAACTATCATACAAACATGTATACAGGCAAAGGTCCATCATCCCTTCCTTGACTTCCCTTTTCCCAACAGTGAAAAACATGGATTCCATTATTAACATACTTATTTGATCAAGTCCTCTATATGTAACCAATCTTCCAACTACACTGCCATCCCCTTGTCCCCAAATGATGCCCCCTCACATGATTAGTATTCCCCTAGCTACTCCTTTTCAGTTCACTTGTACTCTCCTGCCTAACCTTAATGTTGATGTTTCTTGTTTCTCAGGCTTTTGTCATTGAAGAGCTTTTCTTCTTACTCTACCAACAGTGCCTGAATAATCTCATCTCCTCCTCATGACTTCATGTAGCATATTAAAGATGTTTAAATTTCTCCTGAGCACCAAACTAATGTTATGTACCCGTGTCCTCCACTCTTCAACTATCTTGACAGGTTCCTCAAAATCAATGTGGACAAAATTAAAGTTATCATGTTTCCTCTTGCAAAATTTGCTCCGCCTGTTTCAAAGCCATGTATCTGAGAATCATTCTTGATTCTTTTTTCATCATTCACTACATCCAATCAATTTTTATGGCCAGTTGATCTATTTGTTAAATATTTTTCATGTCTCTCTACTCTCTTCATTCCGACCGCCATCTTCCTGGCCCAGAAGTCCATCAACTCTTTTCTGGACAATTACAATTCCAACAGTTACCTAACTTGGCTCTCAACTTCATTCTCCAAGCATACAGCAAAATGCAATAGTTGTCATCTTATTTTACTCTGCATACCTCTTAACCAAACACACAGGGCTCTTCCTCATCTAGCCTGTCTACTTTTTCAGTCTCTTCTCTTGTTAATAGCTTCCGCTCTCCAACTCTCTTCTCTAGTTACGCTGAATTTTGTTCAATTCCTGGCCTATGCTCTATCTCTAAATACTGCCTGCACACAGAACTCACTAAGTATGTCGCCCGAATGGATGAATGAATCTCTAGAGGGCAGTTTTTTTCTTGGGGGACGTAATATGAGGGAGAAGGAATAAAGTAAAATGAAAAAGTATCCTCGTTTAGATTCATAGTGTCCTCACCTAAGTCCGTTTTGCACCCATCCACCTTGTTGTTGCTGGGTGCACTCGAGTAGATTCCCACTCACAGCGACCTCATGTGTGCAAATTTTACAGGAGAAAACATGATGACTACTCCATAGGGTTTTCAAGACTGTGACCTTTCAGAAGCCGATCGCCAAGCCTCTCTACTGAGGCGCCTCTAGGTGGGTTCAAACCGCCAGTCTCGGCTAGTAGCGAGCGTTTATACGTTTAAGCGCTTAACCCAGGGATGCCTCCCATGCCCATACAAGCTGTTAAATTGTATATAAAAAGTACCTCCTTTCACAAATCACAGAGCAGAAGCAGAACACAAAGTCGAGCTTGGTGGGAGGAAAGTGATAATGGGGCGGGTAAGTTTGGAGCAAGGCTAACACGACCACTTGTTCGGACTCCAAGTGGCCTGTTGGAGAAAAAAGTAAGGTATTCTTTACCTCCGTGTAGACTCCGCTCGCCGGAGGAGAAGAGGGTCGTCCAAACCGACTTGTCGCGCAGATAAAAACCCAAGCATCCCGTTTCCTCGCACCGGCTTGAGTACCGGGCGCCGCCATGACAGAACTCGGACTCAGGGGCTGTAACAGCTGAGTCTTCCATTGGCCCAGCAAGGAATCCATCTGACCAATACCCAGCGCCGTTACTGAAGAGCCTGGGCATGGAGGAAGGGCTAGTCTACCGGGGGGCGGGGTCGGTGCCTGGGGCGCTCCTCCTACGGTAGCGGTGGATCCCGCTGCGGTTTGCGCAGGGTGTTGGGTGGACGGCATGGGTTGGTCTCAGCATCTGTTTAGTTCCTTATGGCGAGTGCTGACAAAGGAAGTGAAGCAGCACGTGGGCACCGACCAGTTCGGGAACAAATACTACTATATCCCGGAGTACAAGAACTGGAGAGGTGAGACTGGACCTAGGGCAGCGGTTGCGTGGTACTGAGGGAAAAATGAGAGCGTCTCGTAAACTAAAGCCACGTGTGAGACTTACGTTACCTGGAGGGATACGCAGAGTTCATTCCCCCGCTGTCGTCTTTACTCTGGAGTCCGAGCTTCGCCCCAGCCTGGCTCTAGGCGCCTTTTGCTGAGTAGTGTTACGTTGCGTGCGGCCCGGCTTCGCGTCTGCCCCCTGTACCTGCGTCTCAGCGCCTTCCCTCCCAACGCAGCAATGCAGGCCTGCATAGGACCCTTCAGTTTTAGTGCTTGCCGTTAGGCATCGTAGACGAGGACAAATCCTCGGACATCTTTGAGCAAAGGTGGCTAGGGAGGGCAGAGAAGTGGCTTTTTTTGTTCCTGTGCTTCTCTTGGGACGCATGATTGAGTCGTATAATTGAGGGAGTGTACGTTCAGTGCCTCAGCTTTCCTCTTTCTTGTTCATCTTAGCGGCACCGTAGCTCCCGTGAATCGCCTTCCTCACAACCAAAATCTGCTACAAGCCCATAAAACAGAACGAGACTAAATGGGCACACCAGCCCAGGGGCAAGGACGAGAAGGCAGGAGGGGACAGGAAGGCTGGAATGGGAAACCCAAGGTTGGGAAGGAGAGAGTGTTGACATGTTGTGAGGTTGGCAGCCAGTGTCACAAAACAATACGTGTATTGTTTAACGAGAAACTAATTTGCTCTGTAAACCTTCATCTAAAGTACAATTAAAAAAAACAAAAAACCTGCTATCAGAAGTAGGTCCATACACCCTAAGAGTGTGGAAAGGACATCCCCACACGGCTCCATGTTTTCTTCCCACCCGTTTGCATTCCAAGACTGCGTTGAACTCAATTTAAAGTACATGGCTCTAAGAGCGGTGTTGCTCCATAGGATTCCTCTCCTGTGTTGTTTCATCATCCCAGTGAAGAAGATCTCATGCTTTGAGGTCAGAAACGCTTGGGTTAGAATCTCGTTTCATAGTTGATGGATCCCGGGCAAAATACTTGCACCCCTCAAGTCTCAATATTCTCCCTTTAAAGTTACAGGTAATAATAATGGCAATAATATTGAGAAGTACTAAACCCTTTCCATAATTGTGTTCCATCCATTTCCGGTAATTCCTGACAAAAGGAGTACTCCTGACTTCCTCATAGAGCATATATAAACTGTATCCTATGATTTATCACTCAGATTATTTTGCCTAGGATTTTTCTGTAACTTGCTTTAATACCTTAGACTTGTTTACCCAATGAGCTTTTATACTCTGGCAAGGCAGGGAATATGTCTTAAATTAAAAAAAAAACAAAACATGCAGAACTAGCATGGTGGTTAAGTATTTCTTGACACATTGCAAATAGAGGGAAAGATATTTCTTTTCCATAAGTTATCAGTAACTAAAAAATACACAAAACATCATACTGATTTTTTTTATTGAAATATGATTTACATGTGACCCTTTTTGGTGTACAGTTTTATGATTTTTGACTGCATAGAGTTAAGTAACTATCACCACAATCAAGATATGGAACAGTTCCATCACCCCAAAATTCCCTGGTGCCCATTATTAATGATTCCCTCACCCCATCCTGAGCCGTTGGTAACCAACTACTGGTCTGTTTTCTGTCCCTATTGTTTTGTCTTTGCCAGAATATATAAATGGAATCATACAGCATGTAGCCTTTGGAGTCTGGCTTATTACATCTCATAATATGTACGATAACATTCTCATAACCTGGCACCCTGGTGTGCAGTGGTTAAGCATTTGGCTGCTGACCAAAAGGTTGGCAGTTCAAATCCACCAGCCGCTCCTTGGAAACCCTATGGGGCAGTTCTACTCTGTCCTTTAGGGTTACTGTGAGTCAGAATCAACTCCATGGCAATGGGTTTGTTCCATTGTGTGGGTTGACCGTGGTTTGTTTATCCATTCACCAGCTCAAGGACATTTAGGTTGTTTTTGGTGATTGTGAGGAAAGCCATCATATACATTCTTGTACAGGTTTTTGTTTAAACATAAGTTTTTATCTCTTTTGGGTAAATACCTAGGCCACCACCCATCTGTCAGTTTGTTGGACTGTGGTGGCTTGTGTGTTGCTATGATGCTGGAAGCTATGCCACCAATATTTCAAATACCAGTGGGTCATCCAGGGTGAACAGGTTTCAGTGGTGCTTTCAGACTAACACAGACTAGGATGAAAGGCTTGGT